AACCCGAACCACTTGGCTCCTTTCACACTCACATTGATCTTACAATAATGCATTTAATCTCTTTATTGTAAAAGTCAAGCACCCTAACCACTTGGCTCCTTTCACACTCACATTGATCTTACAATAATGCATTTAATCTCTTTATTGTAAAAGTCAAGCACCCTAACCACTTGGCTCCTTTCACACTCACATTGATCTTACAATAATGCATTTAATCTCTTTATTGTAAAAGTCAAGCACCCTAACCACTTGGCTCCTTTCACACTCACATTGATCTTACAATAATGCATTTAATCTCTTTACTGTGAAAGTTCTATCTTTGTAAGTTATCTTATAAAAGTTGCAAATGTTCTCATGCTATGATAACATCTTTTAAAAGATGTTTATGATGTTTTGTGGTGTCTTACTGAGTTTACCATTAACACCACTTAAAAGCTATGAATGATTTTTTGTGGTGTCATTATCACGGTTTATATCTGACATTTTTACAAAATTTTATTAATGACTTCAAATACACAAATTTCTCAGAAATGTTTCATGTTTTATGAATATTTGACAACAATAAGTGTAAATTCAACAATAAAATGTTATGATTCGGAATAAATCATTATTTCCTTGATACATACTTTCAACTCATCAACCAGCATAATCTCCAAAGGATGCGTGTGACACATTTCAAATCTCATAACATTATCCAAGTCCTTCCATCATCTTATAAGCTTCTTTCAGGTCTAGAGAAAGGAAGAAATTTAAAATGTAATATCTGAATATTAAATTTGGTTTAAATACTAATCAGTATTTACCAGTGATGATCAACTAAGCACAGTATCTGTCCTAGAAAACAAAATGTTATTTTTACTTTTTCATTTTACCAGTTTTTAAGGTTTATGATCTTTCTCCTGAGAATCAAAAATGTGATACTATTATTTAGTAAACTCTAAAATAATAATAATGTGTGGTACTATTATTTAGTAAACTCTAAAATAATAATAATGTGTGGTACTATTATTTAGTAAACTCAAATAATAATAATAATAATGTGTGGTACTATTATTTAGTGAACTCTAAAATAATAATAATGTGTGGTACTAT